AGATGGCCGCGCATGCGCGATGTCAGGCGCACGAGCGTGGTGACGCCACGTGCATGTGCAATGACGTCACGGCGGGGTGTCACCCAGTATACGCTCTGGGTGACACCCGGCCTCGGGACGTCCCTGGTACAAATACATACACAGTCAGGACACGCTTACATACATAAACATTATTTACACACAACACATCCATTTGCTTGCTAGAGGTAGAAGCCACTATTTCAGTATAATTCTGCAGGCTGTAATGGTTTTTATCTGCTTCCACACAGGGAGTGAAGGCCCTTTTCATCATGCTGGTAGGGGACAGTCTTTTCTACTCAGGATATGGATGCTTTCTAAAGAAAACAAATAATATGGCTTTACACACATTTTGTTTTGATGCATCTGGAATGCAGTTAGCTGATTTAAAGTGACACTAAGCTTAGGAATTAAATCTTACAAAACACATTCAAGTCCATTAATTATTAACAAAAATGTATCTTATTTGTGTCTCACTCGGCTGTAGAGCCTCAAATCATCTCTGAATTGGTGCTGACATTGTCCTTTTTGGAGAGTGGCTACTTTTGTTCCTCATGGTCCCTGTGTGTGTTGTAAAGTAGTCACCGCTCCAAGCTCACTACCATGATGGACTACAATCTCAGATTTAGTTTACTAATTTGTATTGAGATTGTAGTCCATCATGGTAGTGAGCTTGGAGCGGTGACTACTTTACAACACACACAGGGACCATGAGGAACAAAAGTAGCCCCCCTCCAAAAAGAAGGACAGTGTCAGCACCAATTCAGAGATGATTTGAGGATCTACAGCTGAGTGATGCTCAAATAAGTTACATTTTTTTAAAATAGTTAAGGTCCTTGGATGTATTTTTAAGATTTAACTCCTGAGTTTAGTGTCACTTTAACTCTTTCGTGGGAGACCAGGCCACGTTTAGATTTAAACTGAAAGTTTAGTTGTGATTTAACGTGGGACTGCTAGTCTGCGATAGGTACAGTACTTACATGTGACTAATTGCAGCATAAGGCATCCCACCACCTTTCAGTGTAAAAGTTTATCTAACACATATTTCTGTAAGCACTTCGTCTATCTAAGAGCAGCAGTAGTACATCAGTACCTGTGTACTAACTATACACAAAGTGGAGCAGAAAAAAATTAAAAAGAACCTCTTAGGAAATAGTACAATGAATAGAATAGGCTGCAAGCTTTTCCTGAAGCACTTGACATCATACCGTGACCCTCCAATTCCATTAATGTTGTTATCCTTTCAGTTTTCCCAGCAAAGCCAGGACATACTGGTAGGTCATTCATTAACAGACAACTACACTCTGCAACAAAATAACAAGAAAGGCTTTTGGCATAGGCAGGGATAGAAAATACGGTAACGGTAAGTTTGCAAGTTTTGTTTTTACTTTATGGATGATCCGCTTTTATGGAGGTCACCTTGGCTCAACACTTTGTATAGTTTCTTCAACTTTGGAACATGGTCAGTTTAGTTAGAAAACCTAATTTAGAAGTACAATGTAAACAAGATGAGGTCCAAGTGTCATCCATGTTTTAGCAATGATGGAATCGTCATGGACAATGTCAGGAGCAGAATGGGAGAAAATGTTGCCCATGCAGGGTAAAGCAATAGGTTCACGTAAATGTAGACCTCCCTATAAGCATTTACTTACCTTCAATTTGCTTCCCAACTGCTTGGTTCAGCCACTGGAAGTAAAAGGAATGCCCCGTGGAGATGGATTCAAATGATCACATTGGACAGATGGTGATAAAGCACAATGGCTCTGGTGAGGCTGGGGTTTGTGAAAACCAATGATTGCCTATGGGCATGGTTCCCACCTGGGCATTCTACAGCGCGTAGGAAGGCGATGGAAAACGCCCTACACCACAGAAGTACAGGAGCTTCTTTGGGGGCGTATTTGCCGCGCGTATCCATTGGGATACAGCCAGGTAGCCCTCGGAAACACGCGTTTGTCGCATGGCAAAAACGTGCGGCATACGCGCATATTCGATACGCCTAGGTGTGAACCCAGCCTTAGCTCTGCTTGCCCAAAGCAGGGCATAATGTAGAAAACAACTACCTGCCCGGCGCCCAGAACTGCATGCCCCAGGCATCGGGAGATAGGAATTCCACACCCCCGCTGCACCTCTACTCCCTGCTGCCCCAAGGCAGGGCATTGGTTGGCCTTATGGGAAATCCAGCCCTGGGTGCCCCTCAAACAAGGGGCCCAGATTTGAAGATGAACATATATTAAGATTAATGAGCATTGTGTGAATCACCTGCACTCCATACAGTGAGTGGACATCTTCATTCTTTTTTTTGTGGTGCTTGCAGTGATAACATGCATGGTACCGTCTTCCTCCAAGTCACAGGGTAGAAGATCACCAGCACTTAACAGGATGAAAGCGTGAACTATTGTAAGTTTTATTGAAGTAACATCATGTCACATATGGGTCATCAAGCCAACGTTTCAGGCCATGCAGGGCCCCTTTAATCAGGACTACATAATGACGAACTATGTCGCCCTGAAGAAGAAACCCTACATTGCCCCAAAACGTTGGCTTGATGACCCATATGTGATGTGATGTTACGTCAATAAAAGCTAAAATAGTTAAACGCTTTCATCCTGCTGAGTGTTGGTGTTCTTCTACTTTAAGATTAATGAAAGCAGTAACAAAAACGTATGCCTAAACCCCCCCCCCCCCCTTCTTCAAGGTATAAACGTAATAGGTAATCATAAAAGCTCAAAGCTGGCACAAATAACCAAGAGTTATGGCTGCTGAAGAAGAAAGCTCAGGGTCTAGCCGACAGCATCCATACCAACCACATGCTGGAAGATGTGAAATTGTGTGTCATAATAAACCATGTCTTTTAGGACCACCAATCTTTCTCTATGCCCATCTCCTTAGCACAAAGAAATCTACTATGCAAAGGCCACTTGGTTGTAGTTGCTACCCATGCCAAAACGTTTCTAGTCCTCGCCTGACGCAGCTGCTTGTAGTTCAACTTAGGAGTGGTGACAACACATCTGAACTGAGTAAGTGCTGTCAGTCTAGAAGAAGAAGTGCCTTTCTTTTATCATTTATGTACATTGTATCCAAAGCCAAAACATTTATTTTAGTATTGAATAGAGTGGTGAGTGGTTAGAACTCACCGTCAAATTTTCATTGCTGGCTACGTCCTCGTTAGGGAGATACGCTTTCTCGATTCGTCCCAGTGACAACTGTCACTAGAACTGTAAGTTAGGGAGAAACCAAAACTTTGAGTTGCCACCAGAACAGAAATAGAGGAAACATCTTAGTTGTCCCCACTTATACTGGGGACAACTAAGAGGGCATTTAATTCACTCTGGAAAGATATCCTCTCACTTCCGGTTGTGTCTACACAACAGGAAGTTAAGGGAAATCTCCTAAATTGGGAACGGATTGGAAAATAAACCTGGCAAGGACCTACTTCATCCAAAAAAAGAAATTATTTGGATTTAGTTATACTCTGACGCTGGACACTTTTAAATAAATAATTCAACCTTTTGACATAACAGGACTTTAATATTAGTGATACAGTTATATTAATGGCACAATTAAGTCAATCTTGAGAAGTTGTCTGTTAAACAGAAAAGGGTACACGGGTTAGTGTATATTACATGAATTGCAGCATTGATTCTTTGCATCAGATCTCATCCCTGTAGAAGTAATATCTGCAAGGGTTCCCTGTCCTTTAACAGGGCAATGTGCAGGCCAGAACCCCTCATGTTCACAATTTTGTCATTCTGCAATTCAACAGAAGTGTAGCAAAATATCTTACATGGTATTCTTCATTTAATAAAATAATTAAAATTAAGCTTTGAAATGCATTCATTAAACAACGTTGTGCACCAGGCCACTTCATTTCCTTTAAATCCTATGATCTGAGAATCCCCGCTTGTACTACCCAAAAAAAGGATCCTTAAAGTGACATTAAACCCTCAGATTTTTTAACATAAACCAATACTGTAATGTGCGCCTTACTGTAATCCATGTCTGTTTCCCTTTCTCTTTGCTGCTCTTCCTTTTAAATCCTCATGTCTTCTCATGCTTGGGAAGAACTTCCCTTTGCAGCTGAGTGCCTCTTCCTGTAGTGCTGGCTCAGGATGTGAACCTACGCACAGACACCATGTAGCCATTCCTGAGACAAGGCAGTCTGCTGCAAAACAGAAGTTCTCCCCAGCATGAGAACAGATACAGATTTAAAAGGAAGAGCAGCAAAGAGAAGGGAAACAGCCATGGATTACAGTAAGGCGCACATTACAGTATTGGTTTATGTTAAAAAATCTGAGGGTTTAATGTCACTTTAAGTCTATTCATTGGAAGCTCATTGCTCCTCTCCTATACAGAAAGTGTCAGTTCTTGGAAGTTTCTCACAATCTCAACTTCAATGTAAATCTGCCTTGGAATGCTGAATCTGATTGGTGAAGGTCAGATTCAGGAATTCTATCTAATCTTTGGAATCTGGCTGTTGTAGATTACAAAGAACTCAGATTAAAGTGGATTTCCATTTTTTGCAGCCAAATTGGGATACCACCTATGTTACATTTGTCACATGTTGCCAGTCACATAGTATAAATGAAAACAAATATACAACATTAGTTGCTTCCCATTTTATTTTTATATGAAACTGAAGTTTTTCTATTCTCTGTAATGTCAAGGAGGGGGATGTTTACCATAACTAATCTTGTCTGCATTTTTCTGGCATTTCTCATTATCAGTCAACCAGATTTGAACACTGTCTGTCCTAACCTGGGCTGTCCCTATAATGAAGCAGACTCATTGGGTCACATGGGGGATGGAGAAAATCATATCAACCATATAAATCTCAAACTGATGTAAACTGATGCAATGTTCTGCCTTTAGCACAGACGCTGGGTATCCTGGATGTAATTTGGAGTTTAATTTTAATTTTACAGGTTACCTAGGAATGTTTTTTTATATTGAGTCACTGAGTCTCTCATATATCATAGAAAAGGATACCGTCGTTGGGGGTTGATACCTATTTTTTCTCAACTACAATCACACTAAGATTGTTATTAAAAATGACTTTGCTGTCCCTTATAGAGCTGCACCCAGAGCTCTTCAGGTCCTCTATGATCTCCTCTCTAAGGTCGGCGGGGGCGCTCTTCTTAAAATCACAGGTTTCCGTTAAGAAGTCCAGAAGTAGCTCCCCATTCCGGTCCCCTTCCACAAAACACTCTGAGATGTCCATTTCGGATTGCAGGTCGTAACTCTGGTATTGGGCCCCCATCAAACTCAACATGTCCGCGATGTCCCCCGCTGTGATGTACAGGCACATATCGTTCAGAGGCAAGCGGGATCCATACTTCTTCCACAGTGTAGACCACCCGCTGTTTCCTGTTAGCAAAAGGGAAGCAACATTTTTACTTTTTTGAGCATTGTTTTTTTTTGAGAACATCTATCTATACAAAGATGCCATTGTACATAAGGTATAACATACATTTGCAGGAATTGTACCGCGATCAACAATGAATAATCTCGTATAACAAAACTACATCTCGTGTGTCATATATAACAATTTGACATATAGTTCAGAGAAGCCTACTACTCAGGCTTTTCTAGATCCCCACTGCTCTCCCCCATCTGTATGCAGCGGGGATCCAGAGAAGCCCCACCGCAGGGGATCGCAATCTACCTAATGGGCACCCCTGGTGTATGGTAACTTTTTTTTTGTACTGGGGTTCCACAATATCTGCTATCTGTATTATGTAACTTGTACTCTACTAGATTTAGTGAGCTTATGTATAGCATAGCACTTAGGATTTGTGTGTGATCTCCTGTGCAATGTGTATATACATTGCATCTTTGTGGAACTTGTAACTATGTTCACACCAAGTGCGTTCCAGGAGCAGAGCAGAGCTGTTACAGACTGGATCAAAACTGCGTCCAACGTATTCCAATGGTATTTTGGGCTCTAGTTCACACCACAGCGTTCAGTTCCAGAGCATGTAAAAAAAACTGCAGCAAGCCCTATTTTACCTGCTCTGTAACGCATGCAAACGCATCAAAAATGCATTTAAACGCCCTGGAACGCACTGAAAGCCCATTTTAAACCTTAAATTTTTTTTTTTTTTTAACCAAACACGGCCCGGAACGCATCAAAAACGCGGCAACAACACGGCACAACCCACTGCACTGCGTGTGCAGAAACTCATGCAGATCTTGTCTGCATATGGTGTGAACAAACCCTTAGAATGGTTACTTTTTGTGTGCTAGACTACGTCCAGTAGGACATAGTTCAACTATGTCTATACCCATGGAAACCGGTGTGTTTTGCTCATGCCTTACCAGATACAAGGATTATAAGAAGTTTGCCTTCTGTGGAAAGTAAGCTGGTGAAGAATTTTAAAGTTGCGGGAATATCCTTGACATAGTACAGCATCTGTAATGAAACAATACATTTTAACCAGCAATTTGAACAGGTGAAGTAGAGTAGTCCTCAGACATGCACAATTACAATTGATGTAAATATTAAGATATAGTATGTGCTGTTTCTTTGTTTTTAGTGTGACTGATGTCTGTATTTAAAACCCATATGGCCTACTTTGTGGCAGCTGAAGGTATACACAATCCTTGACATTTTCTGTAAAGTTTGAGCTTGACTCTGCCCGACCCTGCCCCCTTTAGGCTTCTGATATTTCCTCTTGGTCAGTGAGACTGTCCATCACATTAGAAGGGAGGCTCTGGTGGTGGATCAGTGGAGTACCCAGCTTTATCAAATGCTCAACTTTGTTACAGGTTTTCTTTAACCAGTTGACATCCGCGGTGTTGAACCCCCTTCCATCCAGGCCATTTTTCAGTATTCAGCGCTGCGGTACTTTGACTGACATTTATTCCGTCATGCAGCGCTGCACTGAAATGAATTTTATACCCTTTTTTGGGGAAAGATAGAGCTTTCTTTTGGTGGTATTTATTCACCACTTTTATTTTTTACTATATTAAGGAAAAATTACCGAAATTAAAAAAAAAAAATCTGTTTCCCCTATATTAAATGATAAAACATTTATTATTACCCAATTTTTTTGTAAAATATAAAAGACGGGGTCACATCGGGTAAAAAGACACCAAACATGTCGAGCCTTAAAATTGCGTGCGCGAGCAAAACCTCAATAAACGATAATACCCAAAATTGGCCACATGTGACGCTTTGAAAGCTTTTACCGCTCATCAGTTTAGTGTTATCAGTGATTGATGGCCCTAAAATGATTGCTCTCACTGCGACGTTCACGGCGATATGTAATGTGTGTAGTGCAATTGTTTGCCGCCGATTGTCTATATGTGAAACACCCGGTAACGGGTGTTTGCATTGCATGGGTCTTTTCAGCCCGTGCGCACCCGCAGAAAAAAAATGCCCAGCAGTGCAATGCAACTGGTTAAAGAAGAACTCCGAGCAAAACTTGTATTAACCCTTGTAGTGGGGCGAACCGCGCACTGCAAGGCTTAAGTGCTTGTTTTGGTCTAGGAAAGAAAATAACAAAGTTATACTCACCTGATCATCCTGAGCTGGCCGGCTGTGACAGTACTCCCTCCAGCCTTTCCCCTCGTAGTCTTCAGCGATGGTATGTCCCTCGGCATCCTCACATTCTATACACTGTGTACAGAACGTGATGACTCGGGAACCTTAGACCCCTGCAGCGGAGGGGGAGGGAGACTCCAGGGACCGGTGTACGAGCAAGCCGGCTTGGAGGATCAGATGAGTATAACTATTTTCCAACTTGAGCACTTAACCTTTGCAGTGCAGAGTTAGCCCCACTACAAGGGTAAATAAAAGTTTTTAACACCGCGGATGTCAACTGGTTAAAGAAAACCTGTTACAAAGTTGAACATTTGATAAAGATGGGTCCTCCACTGGTCCACCACCAGAACCTCCCCTTCAATGTGATGGACAGTCTCACAGAGACACAGATACATAGGTATCTCTTGGATTAAAGAGATGGCTCTGATGAAGGGGGGCGTGCCCCTGAAATGCATCAGCCTGGTACAAAGCGGCCGGTGTCGGCAGAGATGTGACCGGAGGCTGTGTTTGAATTAACTGCCCACGAAAGAGTTGTCCTATGATCACGACGCTCTCACAGGCCAAGATTAACCCATGCGCATTGGATTACAAAATTAACAAATTGCATTACAAAATTTATATTTCCATCAAAAGGTTCACGTTTTGTTTCAAAATTAATACTGTTAAAACAGAACAGAAAATGTGTATATATTATATTATAATAAAATACATTAATACATTTGTGTTAATCTAAATTTTATTTTGACTCAAATTGTACTACTTTTAGATCCAGCCCAGGGCTAACTTGGCACCAACCTGAATCATATGAATGAAATCATACTTTTTATCCTCTTCCTTCTCTTTCACTTGGACCTCAAACTCCGTTGAGGTCTTTTTGTTCCAGTGGAAGGTTATATGATCCAGGCCAGGCGTTTTGGCCACGCGCTCTGCATACATGGGACAGAATTCATTCAAATTAATCTTCATATTTGGAAAGATTGAAGTAATCTCGTTCTGTTTTATGGCGGCTGGCTAAGTGCTAAAAGAGCAAAGTGCAGATAGCAGACTCACCTTTGTAACTGAACAACTGTTCAGGGCTGGGCTCAACAATATTGTTATTAATGGAGACCCCGGGATACCTGGCATGAATCTTGGAGAGCATCTGAAAGTCAATTTCACCTAAAAAAACAGATTTCATGTAGGCAGCATGTCAAGAAAAAAGTCAAAGGTTTGTTTTATTTTGTGGTTTGTTCCATGTTTTGTAGGACCTAAAGTATACATAAAACCTAACAATTAATTTTTCTTATTTCCTCCCTTTTGGTCTATTAACTTTACCAATTAAAAGTGTTTGGTTATATCTGTTATATGCAGCAAGTGCTGCATATAACAGTGAGTTCCTGAGGAAGGGTAGGGATTCTGCAGGATCTGACAAACATTGAATTTATTGTATAACACATACTGATCGGTAAAATGTCTTGCATCTGCATTTTAAGAACATCCACACTGAGCTGCTTTTTCCTACCTTAGCCAAGCTCCCTCCCCCACAGCTGCAGCACCCTAAACAACCCAGTAGCATGCCCCCACTATGCTCCCCAAAATGGAGTATCTAAGCAGTCAATAGGCAGGACTGATGACTGTCAAATGGTGGTACAGGGAACATGGATTGGTGCCAATTCCTGTGCAAAGACTTTCTGAAATTTGCTACATGCATTGCTCTTCTGGAGTTATGGACTGGAGGATCAGGGTAAGGGTGGATCAAGGTTAAGGCAAGAGCAGGCAACCTGGAGCACCTTTTATATGCTTGTCAGTATGTGGAGGTTTATTCTTTAGTCTATAAAGAGCTAATGTTACCTGAGCCACTTCCTACTCCGAGGACATTGACAACTGATTTCCCGTCACCTATGCTGGGAAAGACATGAGAACAGTGAGTATCAATGACACAAACATTAGAGATTAAGTGGTCTGAGCCTACGTTCACCGAGTAAGTGTTGAACAAATCAGCCATACTTTACAAAGGCACAGTTTGTCAATAAATGAAAATGCCAGAAATCATCCATGGTCATAATAGCATACTTTCCATCGCACTCCAGACCGGAATCCCAATATGATTAGATGCGTGCTGATATGGCCTGCAGATGGCACTGTGTGAATCCAAATGTAGAAGTAGTCACCAATGGTGTGCGGGTGACCACTTCTACATCTTCCAAGGTTATTCACCCAGGACCTCTTGGCATTTAGCAAGCAGTCCTGGTGAGATGTCTTGGCCCATTCAATGTACACAATGTAAGGTTTGAAAATCCCAACAACCCATGTTTTTGTTGAAGCTCAGACCTGCCCAATAAGCATGACTTGTTCAAAGGGATTACATCACATATTCAGGCACCATTCTGTAGGTACACATTCCAAGTAGAAATGGAGCTCCTTCATGTTCATGTAGTTCCACATATGTAAATGCAATGGGTGGTCCTACTGCAGCTGTAAAGCTGGGGTTTCTATCTTTCTGAAATTGTGCATAATTTTCTGTTTTCTTAATGGACAAGCAAAGCGCAGTTATCCATCCCCCTTCCCAAGTGCATACCTATCAACTGCCATGGACCATCACAATGTTTACATCCTCCAAGGTAAAATCTGCTCTGTGCCAGCCATGCCAGCTCATGTGATCGCCTATAGACTTCTATTGTGCCATTTATTATAGGTATTTATATAGCACTGTCAATTTACATACTATTCTTCCTCATCAGTCCCTGCCCTCAAGGAGTTTACAATCTAAGGTCCCTATCTAATATGCACACATACTAGGACCAATTAAGACAGGAACCAATTAACCTACCAGCATGAAGATCAACTATGCAGGTGCTTCCATCCCAGAAAAGATTTTCCTGAAGAATGTAGACATTGCGGCTGGCTGGATGGGTTTAACTATGCATTGTGTGTGTGTGTGTGTCTGTGCGGGGAAGGGGGGGGGGGGGAGAGAGGGCATTAGTGCAATTAAAAACAAAGTGAAGATATCCTTTAAAAAATTAAAATATGTTTAACAATGTCATGTCATTTTTTCCAATATTAAATACCCAGCATCCTCTACACAACAGCTATAGAAATAAGTGTGGCCTCAAAATGAGAGCCTAGTGGGCTGTTGGTGTGTAGTTGGATTAGGTGACAGGTCTTCTTTAATATCGGAGCTGGTGTTTAGATAAAATAGTGAAAAACAGAATCGCTCATTTGCAGCAGACTAACAATTCCTGAGGCTGCATTAATTTGAAAAGCCACTAACACCCAACAAATGTGTTTCCCAAACTGTCAAAACAACAAAAACTCTTCTAATTGTAAACAGATTCACAAAATACAAGTAGCGGCAGGAAAGAAAATACAATAAACAATGAAAGGGATGTAATTGTCATTGCCATGTAAGCTCACTTGTGGTCGAATAACAGAAGCGGATATTTATTTGGTCATCCATTATCCTTGTCAATTAGGTATGGGCATTTGGGTGTATGAGCTGAACTTGCCTGGGTAAGTGATAAAATTGCACCTGGCTAATGGTAGATGTTAGAGAGCTTGCATCCGCAACCCAATGCCACCCTTATAATATAGAATCTTTTGCTATCTCTGATTAATATGTGAGCTGATATTTGGCAGCCTCAAAGGCTTCAATACAGAGGTCTCCACTGGCCCATACACAGGAGATGTTCTACAGAGAGGGTGTGAAATTGTCCAGGAGTCAAGCAGTGTGGGACGTCTGCTTATAGAGGTAATAAAAATGTACTGCAGGTCAGGCTACATAGTTACATAGTATTTGAGGTTGAATAAAGACATTAGTCCATCAAGTCCAACCTATTAGGATCTCATTCTAGGAGTACCTGTACCCCTGTATTTTACGGTCCCTTAAGAAATCGTCCAAAAGTTTCTTGAACAGTTCCACATTATTTGCTGAAATCACCGCCTGCGGCAGTGAGTTCCGGACCCTAACTGATCTTACTGTGAAGAACCCCCTTCGCCCCTTGTGCTGGAATTTTTTTTCCACCAATTTTAGGTTGCAACTTTTTGTGGGAAATAAACATTCCTTTCATATTAATAACATTGACAACAAGTCCGATTTTTTTTACCATGCAGAATGTTAAATGACTGGCCAGGTGTCAACCCTATGCACTACTTCACTACCCATTTAATTTAGGCCAAAGTCCAAAAATACCAGCAGGTCCTAGTGGGATTCGCACTGGGCACTCGCTCGAGCACCACATTGGGGAGCCTTGCTAGGTTTCTGAAAGGTCTCCAGCACGCGGAGGCACTGTGCTAGATGTAAATAGAGGCAGGCAGCTAATTTTGGGTGTGGACAGAATCTGAGCTTGATCTTACGAGTCTGGATAATAGATAATAGCACCATTGATATATCATATTCAAATAATCAGTTTTCCCTCTGGAGCAGCAGTCATATACACCTTTTCCAACCCTTATCGCTGTCTTGCTAAGCCACAACCCTCTGGTTCTTCAATGCTTGTCCAGCCCTCTGGTCCTGGTAGCTATCCACTAAAATCACAATGCCCCCCATATATTTGTATTGTCTGATGCTTG